TTTTTAAAGAAGATTTCTTTTAAGGACAGATTCATATTAAAGAAATGAGTGAATATTTTAAATTTCAATTTATGAATTCTGTGCTAAACCTAAAATATTTCAATACATATTCAAGTTAATAATATAATTGTACAATGAATCATAATTGATGGAAGACATTATTGATTTTAATATTTTAATAATACTTCTAACTAGGTTATGTATATATGTATATATTATATGTGTGTATGGAGAATGACAGAGTGTGCTACAGGTAGCTTGACAATCGATGAGACGATAAGCGACATCTGGTCGTATATTTGTTACATTCAATATACATTTATTAGTATTTGTTCGTGCAAATTGAAACCATATAATAATCGTTCTCTTCAGCAGGTGTACGGCCGCCATTTTTTATATTTAGCCGTAAACAAGTTTATGAGTTTTGTGAGTGTATGTGCGTTTTGAACATATTGAACATGGACATGGTTTAAAGTTCGATAGCACTGGAAATTTAATCCTGTTCTCTTCAACAAGTGATTATTTCGGAAAATATTCTTTTTAAAAGTGATTTCTATATATAATATTCGTTAATACACAAGTGCAAGTTTTATGATCACAGTACCGAGAGAAGTTGTTTTTATTAAGGGATGTTTTTTTTAATCATACAGGGATATTATTCAATTTGTTTTCAGCTTTGTAGAATTATTTAGAATTTTTATGAAATTGTTTTGTGTAGTTTATGAATTAGTTTATGAAATTGTTTTACATCTGAACTCTGGGACATGAAATCATTTTATTTAATTTATGAATTTGTTAATGAAATTGTTTTACATCTAAACTCATGGACATGGAATTGTTTTATTTAGTTTATGAATTAGTTAATGAAAGTTTAATATCTAAACTTGTGGACGATTGGGTCGCGAGGGGCAGACTTGAATTCTACTGACTGACTACCTTTGTACAGGTTCCCATCTTATTTAATTCACCTGTTGTATTATATCATTAATTGCGTTTATTAAAACCGTCGATTGAGGAAGGATTTTGAACCGTTTATAAACTATTGTAAAAGTTGAATCTTTCAAAGGAATATCAGTCCGAAAATGGTCCACTTCTTTTCGGTATATACAAATATCAAATGAGGTTCAACATCTGAGGGGGTTGGGTTGGTGGATGGCCGAATGGTTAGCACGTGCGCGCTGTAACATATTATTGAGTCATCTGGCTTGGTTTCGAATCCCCGGTTGTACGTGACAATGAGTAGGGTCGCCTGTCCAACCTCTTGGATTTTCTCCGGGTCCTCCGGTTTTATCCCACTGCTAAACACGCCTACGCGCAAGCAAATTATTGAAATAAAATTAAACCATATATTTAACCCCTCCCCCATCTCTCTCTCTCTCTCTCTCTCTCTCTCTCTCTCTTTAATAACATTAGGCTGTACTTTACTTATATTATATGGTAAAATGTATCAGTTAAATAGCTTATAGTTATTGATTAACACAGAACGTTTTAGTCATTAAACGTTATCAAGCGTTTTATTAATGTATTCACTACAATGGCACAGGCTGTTGGAACATATTGCCACCCACTGTGATATTCTCGTCACGTGAGACAATATGGGCGTTGGCCGAATAAGTGTAATGATCATATATTGATATAGATTGCAAGTTAGGACGTTCTGTATTCTCATATTGAAATGATTCTATGTATTGTCGTCGCCTATGTCCGACTGTTCTACCCTGTTTATACGCCCTTATTGGAATTTATGTGGTCGTATATTGCCTCCGCCCGTCACAACACAATTTCCTTCGATAGCTCTAGATTCAATCTAATTAAAACACAGATCATATTTCGTTTTTTTATAGTTCAAAATTTCCTTTTACTTGTCTTCACTACACTAGGATGTGGAATAATTGTTATATTAACAGCGTTTTGGTTGAAGTGAGTGATAAGCCAATGAAACGGTCTGTTACATCGAGTTCTTGGCGTGCCATACACGGAACTGTGGGTAAACCACTAGAAACGTCGACGCTGATTGATTGATCAATGTCTGACGTCATAGGGTCAAAAGCCGCTCGTACGACCCCTGACACAATCTTATAGTACACCTTGTCAGATCTTCATGTAGTGTAGGCCATCGAAAGTATAAAAAAAACGAAACAAAATATAGATCTGTATTTTAATCAGAAGATTGCTCTAGATTCTAATGTGACCATTCGCTTGATTTGCCGTTGATACTAAGCATTCTCGAGATGAAGAACTGTATTAATTTTATACTTATTGTCAGAGTTATTGTCCTTGATCATTTATACTTATTGTCAGAGTTATTGCCCTTGGTCTATTGTACTCACTGTCAGAGTTATTGCCCTTGATCACTTATAAACATCTTGTAGTCGCCCTAGAGCCTAATTGGAAATGTATGCACTGTGTTTATGTTCAAGCAAGGAAGACTCCTATTACTTTCTAATGATTGTATTCGACCTTGATCAATTCTTGTGAACGTTGTAGATGATGAAGTTGTAATCTGAAAATGTGCGACACTTACTTCATAGGTTCGGTTGTTGAAATCGTTAGAGGTTAAACGATCGCGGCCGGAAGTTAGCTTTATATTCATCCTTACAGTATCTGAAGTTAATCGTGAGTGGCATTTAGCGATCGGGAAACACATTAACAGAACACAGTTTTTATGGGTTACAATCACTAGTTTTATTCTAAAAGTACGACGTTCTGAAGTTCCAAATCAAAGTTAAAGGACACCGGAAAAGCTTCATTTTTTTTTTAAAATTATGCAAGTAATTGTGTAAACGTATCCTTTCCATAAGTATAACACGAACCCGAATGTCAATATTACCTGCAACAGGTAAATTTTAACGTCACAGACTGTTTATTGACGGAAAGTTACCACTACTCGTGCAGAAAGACGGAAATTACTAACACTGAAATTTACCTGTTCTTTAAGCTTATGATATTAGTTTATTTATACAACTTGGTGATATACCGGTACTGCAGTCTGTCTCGTATTGTGGGGTTGGATGGTCGATTGGTTAGCATGTGCACGCTGTATCATAAGGGCTGTCATTAAGTCAACTGGCGTGGTTTCGAATCCCCGATTGTACGTGACAAGGAGTAGAGTCGCCTATCAAACCTCGTGGGTTTTCTCTGGGTCCTCCGGTTTCCTCCCACTGCTAAAGACCCTACTCGCAAGCGAATTATTGAAATAATGAAAATTAAAGCATAAGTTAGTCCCGAAATGACCTAGTTTGTGTCGAGTTGACGTTAAACCCCATCTCTCTCTCTCTCTCTCTCTCTCTCTCTCGTATTCATCACCATGACCATGGTACGCAATTAATTTATGTCATATGATTTTAAATATTTACTGATTCAGTCATACCCTTTGACCGGCTTCCATGTTTTGATAAAATTTGGTTGGATTAAAGCATTTGCACCAAAGATTTAGCAACATGTGGCAATGTCATGCTCTAGAGCCTGTATGATGTTCACCATGAGATATACAAATTGAAAGTGGCATGCTATATAAAAATGCAACTATCCCCACTACATTTTATCCTTCCAAAAAGGAAAAGGAATAGCTAAAATAGAACAGGGTCCATTTTGATTGCTTGGTGCTTACGACCATTAAACACCATTTCATTCATTAAACTTATATGTTTTGAAAATGGATTTAGGTTGATATTTTGGAACTTTAGATTGATTTTTTTCAGTTTTATTTATTTTCATAAAATTTTATATTACAATGTTGTCAGAATTGATTCTAGTTGCTCACTAGTTTGGATGTATATATAATTGTTATTTATATTGGTTAGTTTACGTGGAATATTATGGCGTGATTATAAATGTTTCATTGTGTGTAGGTTTGTTAAATGGACTTGTTTCAAATCCTGTAGAATTTACGTTAGTTAAATATGATGGATTATTTATGGCTTGATTACAATCCGATTCAAACACAGATCTTATTTCGTTTCGTTTTTATACGCCCACATTGAAATATGGTCGTATATTGTTGTCGCCTCCGTCTGTCGGTCCGTCTGTCCGTCCGTCGGTCCCTATAGGCTTAAGTTAATATCCGATTGACTTTAAATTTATACACAGTGTTTAAGGTGATGAGACGTAGAAGCCTATTGATTTTCAGCGATTTCCGATAATTACTGCCAGAGTTATGGCCCTTGATCACTTCAAAAAATCTTGTGGACGCTCTAGAAGCTAAAGTTAATATCCGATTGACTTTAAATTTATACACAGTGTTTAAGGTCTTGAGACGAACAAGTATTTTTGATTTTCAATGAATCTTTATGACTTGAACTGCTAAATCCATGATGTGAAAAGTTTTGTATACTAAACATTAGCATGGGGCATAACTTTATAAAAACCAAACAAATTCTAATGGTTTTCTGATAATTACTTCTTGAGTTGTTACTCTTAATCGGATCTTAATGTATTATAAATGTTTCATTACCGAAAAAAGTAAAACTATGCAAGAACTCTTGTTGACTGCACAGACGATTTAGCTGCTGTGGGGCGTATGTTTCATTGCCTGGCAACCTATCTTTTTATAGTTCAAAATTTCATTTAACTTGTTTTTACTACATTGACGTGTTCTGGATGATGTGAAAGATTAGCCAATTAAACGGTCTGTTACAGCGAGCTTTTGACGTGAGGTGCACGGAACTGTGGGTAATCCACTAGAAACAGCAATGCTGATTGGTTAATCAAATGTCTGATGTCATAGGGTCAAAATTTGCTCGTATGACCCCTGACCCAACCTCCCAAAACAACTGCTCAGATCTACACGTAGAGTAGGTCATTGAAAGTATACAAAAACGAAATGAAATATAGATTGGCTTGATTAGAAAGGTTTCATTTTCTGTAGGTTTGTTAAATGGACTTATTGTTTCGGGTACTGGGGAATTTAATATTTAATATTTCTTACAACAGCTGCTTCCTCCAAAAGATGTTTAACTATCCATAACTTTGAAATATTAACTACTAAGAGTTGTGGTTAAAAATGACTACATTGAAAAAGTTGGCTAAACCTAATCCAGACGTTTCCCCAGATGATAAGTGGTGTTTAGTTTGCGCGACGGTTTTAACTTCGGATGGTGTGGAGTTGTTAGGAGATGGCACTGAAGAGTTACAGAAAAGGTTTCATCAAGTATTGAAAGCACCGGTTCCCAAGAAACCACCGTCGGCAATAATATGTAAGAAATGTGACAGAAATATCCGACGAATCGCTGGACAGAAAGGGGAAGCGGCCGAACGTGAGATCGAGTACATGCAAAAGACGTACCGTAAAACAGTTAGCGACTATAATCTTAAGGTCGAACGAAAGTCACAGAAGCTTAAAAAGGTGGCCGAAGCCTTCATGGGATCCAAAATGAAAGCTGCAGATTCGAGTCCCGAGAAGCCAGTAACAGTGGCAGCCAGTAGATGGCGACTCATGGCTAAAGCTAAGTCCAGCACTACTGAAAGTAAGATTCCACTTCCTTTAGCTAATGGCGCATCTAGCCCAGGAGGAAGTCCGAGTGGGGCTTCTACACCTACAGTTGATCGGGACGCTCATGCCCCAGACGGCGCTGCCACCCATGACGCCAAGGAAGAGAGTACTAGTTCCAGTGACGCTACTGCAGGCGGGAAGAAAGAGGTTCGTTTCTCCACAGAGGGAGATCAAACTGGTGCAGGTATAAACATAGTGTCTTTAAACATGGCGTCTCGTGAAATTTTCTGACACATATTTTTGTTTCATTATGTTTACTGTTCAATAGATGGTGTTTTACCGTGAATAATGTAGATCTTTAGGTTATTGTTCACTAGGTATAATATCATAGCTTTAAACTCATGTTTCATAGGTTATACAATCTGTTTATGAATAAGCTCTAAGTTGTAATGGGTACCGTACCGTATACCATTCCGCATCAGGTAGTTCTGAACATTTCTATGTGTATCGGAGGGGTGTGGGGGGGGGGGGATGTACATGCAACTAAACAACAAGTAGCATTCAATTTATTAAAGATGTATTATGCACAAGATGAATCTGCCTATTGCACAGGCCTTTCTTTAGGCCTTAAATGTCATATAAACTATTAATTAGACATTTATTAACATGACAAGACCGTAATCAACTCTCAATGCCATCTGATGGGTACGATTTTAAACAGATTTGAATCCAATCTGCGATTCAACGGCTGTTGATGATTAACCGTAAAAATGGATAACTGAGACTTTGTTTATTATCGTAACAACGGCAACAATGACAATCGAGACTACGGTGTTGAAATTCGGTTTTCCCAGCTCAGATTAAAGTAATTTAACTGAAATTTTCAACATATTTTCTTTGCATTATCTATTTTTTAACTATTATGGCGAAAATTGCCTGCTCTTTATCTAATCTCCCATAATATATGTTTAGCAGGGGGGGGGGGATCTTTAACAGTGTAATTACATAAATGTCAATAACATCATTAAATAGTGTACCAAATACAAAGCCCCTTTAATTATTCCAGCTTTGTCAGGTTCTGTAAACGATGTTGCAGCACAATGTAAAGAATAGAGTTCCTTTAAATAATGGGCGACTATAAGTCTTTCGTTTTAATTTTGTAAACCATTGTGACTACCATTATGATTGATCCTGACTTCTAACTAGTTTTCGGAGCAACGGTGAATAAGTATGTAAGACTCTGGCTCGCTAGCTTGGAAGTCGCGGGTTAGCTCCCGGTGTTGGTCGAGTAAATTCATGGCCTGACAAGGGCAGCTGACTTGTTGTTCGGTTCCTTCAAACAAGGACAACTTTGCACTGAAAATTCTAAACACGCTTCGAACGACGCAATTTTGATAACTTCTTTTTAAAAGCGGCAAGTTTTCCTAATAAGTAAACAGATGCCTCGTTGTAATTGCATAGGCGTAGGTACATATCACTTACCGTCATACAGCCGAGGTTAAATGTAGAGTAACGCAATCTGCCGAGGTTTGCAGAGTGCAAACATAATGACGACTCATTCATTTCGAACATTAAATAAAGACTTGCGCAGTTACTCATTGATTCCATTTCTGATATAAAGACTGAATCATTTCCTGTATAACCTCCCTCATATACAATAAAATAATCATATTTATACATGTTTAGTTTAGGTTTTCTAGATTTTCATGGGAGGGCGCGGTGGCTCAGGGACAAAGACCTGGGCTCGCTAACCCAGACATCGTCTTGATTTTTATACTGTCATGTCTGTCACTGTATTATAAGGCCTGTCATTGAGTCAACTGGCGTGGTTTCGATTCCCAGGTTGTACGTGACAAGGAGTAGGGTCGCCTGTCCAACCTCATGGGTTTTCTCTGAGTCCTCCAGTTTCCTCCCACTGCTAAAGGCCACTACGTGCAAGTGAATTATTGAAATAAAAGTGAACCATATGTTAGTCGAGTGGAAGCTAAACTCTCTATCTCAATAGCGGGCACAGCGGGCATGGGTGGGTGTATGAAGTTAATACACACGAGTCTATTTGCTCGGTAGACGCAGGATCGCGAAATCATATCCCTGCCATTAAGGCCCATGAACGAACGGACAAGTCTTTAGTTGTAATTGATCGTAGCTTTGCTAAAGTCCCGATTACCCTCGCACACTGTATGGCGTATGCCCGTCTTCATTAGCCCAGTTTAGGAGCAGAACAGTAGGACGTTAAACTCCATTTCATTTCATTTCATTTCACCCTCGATGACAGAGGACGTTAAGCACGAGTCTATGGTTGTAATTGATTGTGGTTTGACTCGAGTCCCCAGAAGACATACCATGGAATACAAAAAGCACCTAAACCACCATTCGCTCGCTCTTCTTGTAAGTTTAAACCGTACATTATGGCTGACAAGTCAAGTCAAGTAATGGGATTGTTGTCTTTTTTTTATTTCAGAAGCGAAAACTGGAGACAAAAGTCCACTAATTAAACACGACTCTTTAGAGAAAGTTGATCAAGATACATGCGCAGAGGACCGTCAATCATCTACGTCACAGGAAGCAGAAAAAGCAAAAGAATCAGAACCAGGATTTAAGGTAATTTATCTAAAGATCTTCGTTGGTCGGTAAAAATAGTTTTTTCATTTGACGTTATTTTCAAAATAATGATGTAGTATGATAAGACAGTTTTCAGTAAATCGTTCTGCCCTTTAATGACACAATTGAATCAGGAAATTTCAAATTAGGTTGTATGAATTATTTGGAAGGAAATATACCAATCCATTCGAGTCTGTTTTACACGTTTTTGTTCGGGTTGGGTGGCCAAATGGTTAGCATGTGCGCGTTGTATTATAAGGTCTGTCATCGAGTCAACTGGCGTGGTTTCGATTCCCGGGTTGTACATGACAAGGGGTAGGGTTGCTTGTCCATCTTTGTGGGTTTTCTCTGGATCCTCCAGTTTCCTCCCACTGCTAAAGACCCCTACGCGCAAGCGAATTATTGAAATAGAATGACCTAGTTTGTGTCAGTGGACGTTACCCCCCTCTCTCTCTCTCTCTCTCTCTCTCTCTCTCTTTCTCTCTCTCTTTCTCTCTCCATGAGATCAGGGGAAGCTACCGATAAGGTGAAATTTAATGGTGGTCTCTATCCTAATCAAATAACAATGGTTGTCTCCCTTGCCTTCAACCGGCAGTCTGAATTATATACTTATTATCTACATATTTCAGATGCCATTCAGTTTCTTTAAGAAGAAGGAATCGATAGATGAGAAACCACTGAAAGAGGAAAATGAACTAAAAGAGGAGACGCAGGAGAATGTGGAAGCCGCTGTAAAGGAAGTCACCGAAGTCGTTTCTACGGACGCTGAAACGGCCATTATTTCAACAGTGAAGGTCCCAGCTAAAGATGCCAGTGAACAAGATGGCGGCACTGAAAACAAGGGTGGCGACCATGTAACACAATTAAATGGCGAAGTGAAGGTATTTACATGAAGTTAACACCATATGTATCCAGGCCCGTAAAATGTTCCACCCCCCCCCTTATGAAAAATTTTTCGACCATAAAAAAAAATAGATATACATTGTCCGTCAATATTGCAGCACCCCGAGAACACTTCCCGCCCGCCACGTTGCTCTGAGCTAGTTACGGCCCGGTATGTATCCCAATGAATTTGCAATAGTTTGTTCATACTGAGCTAGTTACGGCCCGGTATGTATCCCAATGAATTTGCAATAGTTTGTTCATATCGTAATCCCAATTTTGACACGGCTTTGTTTAAAATCATAGCACCAGAAAGTACTAGGCTCTTGTCGCGTACTTTGGCTCGTCTTGAGTTTCTAATGTTCTAAGATTATTCCAGAGGGTTAAGTTCCTGTTATTCTAAGATCACTCCAGATGGTTGCGTTCCTAATATTCTAAGATTATTCCACATGGTTAAGTTTCTATTATTCTAAGATTATTCCACATGGTTAAGTTTCTATTATTCTAAGACTATTCCACATGGTTAAGTTCCTGTTATTCTAAGATTATTGCAGATGGATAAGTTGCTATTATTCTAAGACTATTCTATATGGATATTCTAAGATTATTGCAGATGGATAAGTTGCTATTATACTAAGATTATTCTATATGGATATTCTAAGATTATTCCAGATGGATAAGATACAGCATTAAATGATGTATTTATTTTAGGCCGAATTAGCAACCAAGTGTGAAGATGGCCATAGGAAGGATGGAGAAGGAGAGACAGAAACTAAAGATGAAGTTAAGTTGATTAAGAAAGAAAACACCCCGCTGATAAAAAATGAAAGTAATGTGAAAGACTCTGGACCAGGCATGCTCTGTTGCACCATTATGTAATCTTAAATATACTCCATTCTACCTTACACCCTTTAGTATGGGATTTGGCAAAATTCAATAAATTATTGACATTAACTTCCACACGCTCTCTTATCGATAAACCATCTTAATTAAGAGAATTTCCATCAAAAAAAGGAATAAAATGACTGATTGATTTCAAAAATCTGTTAATATATATATCACAGCATGCACTAATATAACACACTTCTTCTAACTATGGGAAACATCAATTACGTTGATTTTAACATCACAAATTATTCTTAATTAGAAGTCCTTGCTATTATTATTGAAAGTCTCCAATGAAGAAAGAAACAGAATTGGTGTTCGGGTTTATTAAATGACGAATGTAAAATTTTTAGAAAGAGTTTCCAGTGATTTTTTTTTTAAATGAACAGTATTACCCATTAGTATTCTTGTTACTGCTGTTATTGTTGTTGTTGTTAGCAAAGTTTATAGTTGGCAAAAATGTTTAAATAAAAACTTTAAAAAAAAAAAATCTAGAAAAAAAAATCGAAAAATGAAAAAAAAAAATAAAATAAAAAAACAATGGTATATATAAAATATATAATCTATAATTAATTTTACATAATATAGTTAGATCACAGCTGTTATTAGATTAATATAAAATTGTAGCTTTCAAATTGTATTAGAACACTCTATGGGGTAACTTTTCAGACCATTGTCATGAAGTTACGCCATGATGGTTGTACTCACGAGATTTAAACGATTTGGGCGAATTTCACTCAAATTTCAAGTTGATTTACAAAATTTGAAGAATATAATTTCTTAGACAATGACATTTTTTTATTATCTAAGATAAAGATTTATCAAAAATATTATACAACTTTCGTAACTATTTCGTTTATCTTTTTTTTAAATAAGATCACGTGATATTATTATGGGTCATATATCACATAACTGAACGTTCGTAGACGGTAACCATTTAATTTACACTGAATAATTGGGATAATCGATATAGATATAAAACGAACGTCTTGACAATTGGAATAATCGATATCGATATAAAACGAACGTCTGGACAATTGGGATAATCCATATGGATATAAAACGAACGTCTTGACATTGTTTCTTATCTTTGTCTGCGATATCACCTCGGTGGAAGCGGACGTAAAATACAACTAACACACACATTGTTTCTTATCTTCAATTTAAAGAAAATGGATACCCTCTGCGTACGTCTTTATTGGTTCTTGGCTGATCACGTGATGTTACGTTTACTTCGAGGCTTGGCGTATGACCATGTCTTTCTTAAGCATAATTTTTACATCTATTGTAATTTATTATTGTATGTTAAAACCCTGATATAGTGTTTTAATTTCAACTTTACCTCCTACAATATGCGTTTAGTTGTTAGGGTTGCTTTTACTTTAATAATGACATGGCCATTTGGAAATACGGTGCAAAAAGTAAACGCGTACGTGTGATTAAATTGCTGGTGTAAATTTTTTGAGGCGAAGTGGATTTATCCGTGAATTGAAATGAAAAACAGATTAATCAAATATTTAAAAATAATCTATTTGATTCAAAGGTCGACAGTTGAAGTTAAACACAAAAACTACACCCATGCAGTTTGTCATCTTATTATAGCAACTGTGTTTCTTTGTTATTATTTATTTTGTTGTCTCTTATAAAAAACTTAGTACTATACATGTATATAATTAAATATATTTTCCGAATGAGATTATTGTAGATGATCCCTGGTGGACTGACACGATGCCAGAAATTAATCCGACCTTTTGCATTTGGAAGTTTACAACGTATTGTAGTCAGGCCTGGAAATAACGGTTTTACAAGTACCTGACAAAATGTCAGGCACTAATAAAATAGTATCTGACATTTTCAACTTAGTGTCGGACATGTATTAATAATATCAATAAAAAAGACAAATCTGTGCCGAACAAAATGACAGGTACCAGAGGTTTAGTGCCTGACAAAGCCTGAATCTGTGCCTGACATTGTCAGTGACAGGTGCCTTATTTCCTGGCTTGGTTTTAGTACATTCAGAACTGACTTTTCAATGGGAAATTTGTTCTGTTTTAATAGAAACGAGTGTTGTTTTCACTATAGAAATTGTTCTTAAGTACTGATTTTTCATTAGGTCATCTTTGTTATGTATATTGTTTTTAATATGCTGTGCATTATACAGACAGGGCCGGATTTACCTGGGATACTTGTGGGTCCTTGGCAAAACTCATTGGTAGGCCTCCAAATTTATAGGTATCTTGAAACAAGGTTATGCGCAATCGGATTAAAACACAGATCCTATTTCGTATCATTTTCATAATTCAAATTTTGTTTTACTGGTCTTTACTACACTAGGATCTGAAAAAGTTGTTATATTACCCGCGTTCTGGCTGAAGTGAGGGATTAGTACTAGAAACGTCAACGCGGATTGATTAATCAATGTCTGACGTCACGTGGTCAAAAGCCGCTCGTACGACCCCTGACGCGACCTTCCATTACAACTGGTCAGATCTTCATGTAGTGTAGGCCATCGAAAGTATAAAAAACGAAACGAAAAATAGATCTCTATTTTGATCAGATTGGGTTATACTGCGTGACAAATTAATATCAGTTGGCTCCCAGATACCATTAGGCCCTAGGCCGATAGCCTACCATGTCTTTTGGTAAATCCAGCACCAATAAATTACTTACAGGGTTCCCGCGGTCCTTGAAAATCCTTGAATATCCTTAAATTTAAAATTTCATTTTCAAGGTCTTGAATATCCTTGAATTTCGCGGAAATAGGAAAATATCCTTGAATTTCAGTTGAGATCCTTAATTTTGTTTCAAATGTCTTCAATTCCTTTTAAATATGAGATTATAACGATAGTTGGTAATGTTTTGGTTATTTTTAAGATGAAAAATTGTAACTTTAGGCTATAAAAAGTCCTTGAAAATCCTTGAATTTGACGTATATTTATCCTTGAATATCCTTGAAAAAATGTTTGACGAAGCCGCGGGAACCCTGTAAATCCAGCACCAATAAATTACTTAGTCTTATAGTTTTACACATATTTATAGTATGTCTAGTTTAGTGCACGTGATAATATAATTGACAGATATTTTCTTGCTATTAGTTTAGGCTATTTTTCTACTTTTGTACTTGTTCTAAAATTGCTAGATTTTCCATTGATATGTATATTTTATACAGAATTATGAACAGGCAGGACAAATAGTCCAGATATTGAACTGTTCATGGGTTAGGTTTGGGAAGGGGGGTTGTGTTATCTGGAAAAAAATGGGATTATATTATAAATGGGTACAATGGACACCTGTTGCATGCCTGTACAGTAAATTTGCATTCAATATATCCAAGTCAAATTTCAAATATTCCTTCCACATAAATTCTTCCAATAAAATTATGAATCGCAAAGACATAGTTTTTAAACTTTGTATGTTACTCGTCCTGTATCATTTGATAACATTTGGCACATTTGTCAGAGGAATCTTTGCTTGTGAAATTTTCACACAGCTGAGATTGTGAATCATTTGATATTAAAATATCCGATATGTAATTACAGTTAGTTTGCTTTGATTATAATTAAACTGTCTTCCCAATATATGGTTTCGATTCCCCGGTTGTAAGTGACAAGGAGCAGGGTCGCCTGTCCAACCTCGTGGGTCCTCCGGTTTCCTCCCACTCCTAAAGACCCCTACATGCAAGAGAATTATTGTAATAACTTTGTTAGTCTCGAAATGACCTACTTTCTCTCTCTCTCTCTCTCTCTCTCTCTCTCTCTCTCTCTCTTACAATGAATTTACCATTATTTCAAAATCTGAAATTACAAATGATAGCGTCCCCTTTTATACCAATCAACAAAGGACTCATTTGAAAGATTTTTTTCTTTAATTATATCACATAGTTTGGAAGAAAAGGGGGGTATTTATTCTTAAAATAGATAATGAAACACGGGCTTCCCGACTGGGCAACATATTTATAAAAATGATCCTTGGCCGTATCCAGAACAACTCCAATCGCTTATATGGATGTAACCAGTTGTCACCGTGTACTGATCTATTTGGTATAAAGAATAGTGATTTACTATGGTAACCAATGGTTACTATAAATGATTGGAGGTTGCTATGGACTTAAGCGATTTGCTATGGTAACCACTGGTTACTATAAGTACTGATTTTAGGTTGCTATGGGTTTTAAATATGGCTACTTACTATGGTAACCAATTGTTATTTTACGTACTGGTTTTAAGGACTTAAAGAATGAGATACTGAAGTAACCAATGGTTACTATAAGTACTGGTTTTAAGTTGCTATGGACTTTAAATATGGCGACTTCCGGTGGTGACCAATGGATACCGGATACTGATATGTAATAGATTGTATTATTTAGTGAATAATGAACCAAGTATTTGACTGTATTATATAGAAACTGTGATCTAATATACCATACCATTGTTTTATTGTTGTGATTCAATCTAACATAGCTACAAACTATTTATCTACTGTTCTTATCGGGCTGTTGTTCTCAATAAAATATAAAAAAATGTCTTGGTATTTATGATGTTCTTTAAACGGTTTGCTTGCAGGGCCCTGGGGTTTTCCACTTATCAGGACCCGCCAAATCCCCCACCCTTACGACTAGAGGTAGATAAAAGTGTGATTGAGAAAAGCCGAGGATGGTGCATATTTCTGAAGAATTGGCCCGAGAAATCCCTGGCAATTGCAGGATTGGCAGCTGATACTTTGGCTTTTGAGGGAGTGTGTCTATTTTTCCCGTTCAATCAAATCTATCCCAAGTACAGCAACATGACAGCCGTTCGTTTAATCTGGGGTCATCCCTAAAACTTTGGACACTGATTTAAGGTGAAAGTATTGTTGGTCTCTGAACAGGTTGTTAATCGGACTATTGATCACTCATAACTTGGAACAGAAATTTGCTTCCATTACAGCAGTGTTAAGTGGGATTAGTTCTAATCAAACGAAACACGGTGAGGAGTATGATGATGATGACGGATGTTTAATACTACTGTGTATGTAAGAAAAGCTTATGACAGTGTCGAGGCTCCCTCGATCTTGATGCCCTAGGTTTCAGACCGCCAATCCTGTCGGTAAATCCGGCAGTGTTTGCTTAGAAAATATGTCCATGACGTGAGATCGGAGTTTACGTCTTACTCGGCAACGCCAACCAGGTAATTGAGGACAGGCATACCCCATGCATCGTGCTATGAGGGGAAAGTGTATCCGGACAGCTGCACACCAACCAGGTAATTGAGGACAGCTATACCCCATACATCGTGCTATGAGGGGAAACTCCGGCTGAGAATAGGCCCTAATCTAATTGACCGACATTTTAATTCCTAGATCGACGATTTTAGTCGAAAACACGGAGTATGCTTTTAGAAATTTTTAAAAGTATTTATTTCTCTTCTATTGTCATATTGAATGAAGTTAATTTACATAATTCGCTTGCGCGTAGGGGTCTTTAGTAGTGGGAGGAAACCGGAGGACCCGGAGATAACCCACAAGGTTGGACAGGCGACCCTACTCCTTGTCACGTACAACCGGGGAATCGAAACCACGCCATTTGACTCAATGACAGATCCGGGTGGATTACCAGCAGCATTATACCTGGTTTTCTGCCAACAAACCAAGAAGGATTGATCGATGGTGCATGTACGTACATTAATTAGTATCTTTGTATTTGGTTGCAACAACGAAAGGGAGAGAGAGAGAAATGGGGTTTAACGTCCACTCGACACAAACTAGGTCATTTCGGGACTAGCATATGGTTTAATTTTATTTCAATAATTCGCTTGCGCATAGGGGTCTTTAGCAGTGGGAAGAAACCGGAGGACCCGGAGAAAACCCACGAGGTTGGACAGGCAACCCTACTCCTTGTCACGTACAACCGGGGATTAGAAACCACACCAGTTGACTCAATGACAGGCCTTATGATACAGCGCTAACCATTTGGCCATCCAACCCCCCAACAAGGAAAGGGCAGCAGAAAAAGAGGATATAATATTCTCATTGGGGCAATGGGAATATGATGACATTGATGTGGGCATTGCCTTGAGTAAGTGAGGTAACTCTTTCGAAATTCGAGGGCGCTTTTTCAGAAGAGAGGGTTCTTTTTAAGGAAGAGAGGGCACAGTTTAGGAAGAGAGGGCATATAGCCACACACACACACACACACCTATACCCTAATAGGAATCCACATCGGTTTCGAGAGTTATGAACCATTTCCAGTTTCTTTCGTGTCTGCATTTATGAGGGCTGTAGGGCCTATACCCTGCCTACTCGTAAATCACACCTCTAGAATTAGTACGTTATTATGTATTTCAGGTATGAATTAATGTTACAGTCTGACAGTGTTTAACCTTTCTAATACTATAATTCTCTGACCAGTCATTGCACGCTAGGTCATGAACTCTTGTACATCGCATGACTTATAATGAGTGTGTAACTGTGTTTATTTAACGTCCGCTTTCACGGAGGGGATATCACTGAATGTTAAGTTAAGGTAAGGGTTATAATATGATGTATTCTTTAATTCATTAAAAATCTTAGTATAACTTTATGTAATATTTGAATCAAATGTTAGTTTTATTTATTAATTTTTTATTTTAATTTTTTTTTTCTACATTTAATTTGAATGTGAATTTAGTCTCATATAGAAACTGATCCAAACCCATCTAAATATAGAGCAGTGTAATATGATACTTAGCATGCCCTAAACACCACATCATCTGTATCAGATAATTAGGCTACAACATATTGTCTTTGACAAGTTGATGACACGATTCTCTTCAACAGAACTGTATTGTCTGTGGGGGTCGCATTCCTAAATTTGAGGAAAAATGGCTAATTTCCACCTAGTCCAAGCACTGTATAAGGAGTGCTCACTTATTTTATTTTATAAGATGGGGTTTAACGTCCTAAACTGTCTGCACCGACCGGACATATTATGAGGGTATGAAGGCCATTTTGCTGGACAGTGTATACTATACTACTCTTATTTGGAAGTGTTCGTCTTCATGGTATTGTTAAAGTTGAAATATCTACCAATATCCCTTTAAATAGCTTTGATTATTTCACATCTAATTTTACTGTCTATGCTGAACTCGCATATCTTTTGATAAGCTTTGTTATTTAATTATAGTGACTGTGAGTATCGGACTACCACACTTTGTTATTGAACCACATTGTTATTGAAAAGTGAACTATATGTTAATCCCGAAATTACAGTTTGTAACTGTAAGTATCCGACCACCACGCTCTGTTATCCAGTATTGGGACTAGTACAGATTTGGAGAGCTGGATGCACATGACGTCACTGTAACTGATATGTAATTAGCCAGTTATCTATCTATAGTATATCTTGACCTATATCACCACACGATGTCATTCGTAAGTAAATTCAACAATATAATTATTGTTCTGTATGTGGCGGGTTTGGATGGCTGAATTGTTAGCGCGTGCGCGTTGAATCATAAGGTCAGTCATTATGTCAACTGGCGTTGTTTCGATTCCCCGGTTGTACGTGACAAGGCGTAAGTTCGCCTGTCCAACCTCTTAGGTTTTCTCCCACTGATATTGACCCCTACGTACGCGCAAGCCATATGTTAGTCCCGAAATGACCTAGTTTGTGGCGAGTGGACGTTAAACCCTATTTCTTTCCCCCTCTCTGTCCTGTATGTAAACAATCGACGCAGGTTTTGGAGGTCGATTGTGTGTGTGGTGATTGGTCGAGTTGAGATCATTAAATCTGTACTGAGTAAGATGGCGCGGGGTTTTCTCCGTGTCGACCTCTGCTAAAGACAACTATACACAAGCGAAGTTTAGATTTAAAGTTATACCTTATGTTGGTCTAATAATGAAAGAATTTGTGTCGTGTGGACGTTAGCCCATCTCTGGCGTGCATGTACAAGAACTCTAAATAGTTGGAATTCGAAATGGCAGAATTCCCCTCAAAGCATTGGCGTGCTTGTAAAAGAACCCTTGCAAGTTGGAATTCGATATAAGAGTAGGGCTTTCCGCCGCTGTCGGGGCAAAATGTCCCCCATAGCACACCGTATGGCATATGTTTGTCTTCAATAGCCCAGTCGGCGCAGAACGGCAGGTCATTAAACGCCATTTCAGTTCACCTGTATTCCTCTATCCCCTCGTCGGGGATCACGTGGGTAAGTGGGTAAGACCCTGGCTCGCTAGCCTGGAGGTCGGGTGTTCGATCCCTCCATTGGCCGAGAAAGTTCATCCAGATTTTCCGGCGTGGTGTCCCCTTATTGCAGTGATGCAGGACGGGGGGCCTGACAGGGACAGCTGTCTAGTCGTTCGGATAGGATGAAAAACCGAGGTCCCGCGTACACATTGGCGTGCACGTAAAAGATCCCTTGGCAGTTGGAATTCGATATAAGAGTAGGCCGTAGTGCCGCTGCCCGGGCAAAATTTCCCTCATAGCACACTGTATGGCGTATGCCGGTCTTCATTAGCCCAGTCTAGGAGCAGAACAGTAGGACGTTAAACCCCATTTCATTTCATTTCATTTCACTATCCCCGCGTCACCCCCCCCCCCCTTTCCCCGATGACTCATATATTTCAATCGGTTTTTACAATGACTGTTTAAGTTAAATTCAGATTTAAGACTCGAGTATTTACTATGACAATATGATAGAAAGAGAGTTATAAAATCTGGGTCAACGAGAGAGAGAGAGAGAGAGAGAGAGAGAGAGAGAGAGAGGTTTCCTCCCACTGCTAAAGACCCCTACGCGCAAGCGAATTATTGAAATAAAATTGAACATGTGTTAGTCCCGAAATGACCTAGTTTGTGTCGAGTGGACGTTAAACTCCACTTCTCTCTCTCTCTCCCTCTCAATACAGTTGATTAAATTCCAGTCGAGTTAAAGGTGTTGGGATCAGAATGGATAGAGTAAAATACACCACCAGTACAATGTATTTATATAAAATGAAGATCATTTGGATGTTGATGTTACTAGCGAAGAACACATCTGGTATGTATATGATCTTATACTCTACTAAAGGGAGGTTGGATGTCCGAATGGTTAACACGTACGCGTTGTATCATAAGGTCTGTCATTGAGTCAACTGGCGTGGTTTCGATTCCCCGGTTATAGGTGACAATGTGTAGGGTCGCCTGTCCAGCCTCGTGGGTTTTCTCTGGTTTCCTCCCACAGCTAAAGACCCCTATGCGCAAGCGAATTATTGAAATAAAATTGAACTATATGTAAGTCCCGAAATGACCTAGTTTGTGTCGAGTGGACGTTAAACCCATTCTAAAGTGGGTGCTAGAAAAAAGGTCTGCTTTCTGAACACTAAAAGATATATTGACTCACCACTTACTAGGAGTTTCAAGTATTGTACGTTCAACGAATAAGAAGTGAAATGGGATTTAACGTCCTACTGTTCTGCTCCGTCTGGGCTAATGAAGACGGGCTTACGCCATACAGTGTGTTATGAGGGAAATTTTGCCGAACGACCTGACAATTACAGCTGTCTAGTCGTTCGAATGGGACGAAAAACCGAGGTCCCGTATGGGCGTGCACGTTAATGATCCATTGGCAGTTGGAGTTCGACATAAGAGCAGGCCGTGTACACTATGCACATCTTTATTAGCCCGGATATGTAACCCCTTTTCATCTCCCTGCATAACGTGCATATGCCCAGGTCTAATAATTTAAAACACGCGTGTTAGATCCCCATTTCCCCCTTTAAATGTCTCTTGATTTCCCCTCCAAATTCCACATGGGGTCTGTAGGCGACGCCATGTATTGTCACAAACAAGTACGAGAGGGTACTTCATGACTTGCGTGCATGACACGCCTTATAACCTACAGAAATGAAATGAAATGAAATGGGGTTTAACGTCCTACTGTTTTGCTCCTATGCATGTGCGTTAGGCGATAGGTCCTCTTCCAGTCATATTAAATTTCTCTTGATATCCCCCCAACATTTGCTCGTATATCTGATATTCTTTAATCTAACAATAATCGTCTGCACTGATAATCTGATATCACTTCTTCTTTCTAGCTATTGAAAAAGGACGTTGGTCTAACATTCCTAAATAAAGTCGCTTGTGTCTTTGTGGTGCAATTCAAACTGAAAAACATGTGATTTGTGAATGTCCGATATGTGACGATGTTCGTGCCGACTATCCAGAGTTAGACTTTTCCAGTTTAAAATCTGTTTTCCTTAACAACCGTGTCTATGATGTAACTAGATGTGCCCGTCAGTGCTTGAGAAAATTCAGTTAAAATAATCATCTTTCTATCATAACCAGACTTATCAACATATTTGAACCCCACCTAGAGTTTTTAATTAGTTAAATCAGTTAACATTATCACTTGTATTTGTGCTATATTCACAGCTATTATACCCATCTTGTTTCATATTTAAATTTGGTAAAAACTTTCATGATATATTTAGTATGTACATGTATCAGTTTTAATTCTCACTTTGCCCGCTCTTCACATTATTCGATATATATATACTATATTATGATGGTAATAAACTATAACTAACTAGGTAACATTCTAAAAATATTCTCCCCCGCTCCCATGAAACCAAACTGTATGCCTTCTTGTTGCTGTGAATGATCTGAACTCAACTTCAGATGATACGACAAATTTAAAAAGAATTGCATTTCTGGAAAGCTTAGACTGTGGACTATTCAAATATACTGTCAGATCGAATTTTATAAAAATGACAAAGAGCCTGGTTTTGTGGAAGCGGCTAAATTAAATTGTTTTAAGAAATATGGTTGTATTTTTAGGACAAACTGCAACATTACATGGAGATTCACCATTTGCGGTTTTGGGAAAACCATTTGTTTGGACATGTGACACGGCAGATCTTCCAGGGGGTGTAACGGGCACAAGCTTTAATCTGAATAACAGTAAAGTGTGTGATGTGTTAATCTACAGATACCCTACATCTAACTGCTCGAAATCTTCTGGCACAGATAGCAGGATCACCTGTGGCTGTCGTGGATCTAACATCAGTGCATTGTATCTGAGTATAACATCGTCTTTTCTAGAAGATACTGGAATGTGGTCGTGTAGTTTAGATGAATATTCTCAGTATAAGAGCTCCGTGGAACATCATGTATATTGTAGGTGCTTCACATCCTCAGTGGTCTCATTCCGTTCTAATCCACTAACCTCTGGGTTAATCTATGGGGGGGGGGGGGCGTTTTCAAGTCATCTGCCCATGATGATTGTGCTATTTTCATTAACCAATCCCATAAATCGTTAATTGCAAAGGGAGTTGACCAAGGGAAGTAATATATACATATGTAGCACTCGGCAACCCTCAGCACGCCAATGCGTACAAGGGACCTTGGCCCATCCGAACGACTATACGTTGTTCCTTGCCAGGCCCTGTCCTGCATCACTGACACGGGGAAAGGACATACACCATACAGTGTGCCACGAGGGCAATTTTGTCTACTCTTATATAGCATTCCAACTGCCTTAGGTGCACGCCAATGTGCACACGGGACCTCGGTTTTCGTTCCATCCGAACGACTATACGTTTCCCTTGCCAGGTAATTTGTTTGATAAATATTCACCTTTTACTTTTTATTCTACTCCAACGCAGTGACGGCTATAGATCTCACTAGGTTTGCTATTATTTTACCATATGTAACTGTGTTAAATTAATAATTCAAGATACATTATGGGAGATTAGATGAAGAGCTGGCAGTTCTCACTATAATAGTTAAAAATTAGATAATGTAAAGGGAATTTGCTGAAATTTCAGTCACATTGATCCACTCTGAACCGAGAATTTAGCGATTGAATTTTCGGCCTAGCCTCGATCATCATTACTAAAGTCGGTAGGAAAAAAACATAGTCTCGATTATCCATTGAATTGTAGGCCTGGCCTCGAGATCCTCATTACTAAAATCGGTGTATGTTTTTATTTGGGGGATCACGTGGTTAAGTGGGTAAGACGCTAGCTCGCCAGCCTGGAGGTCGGGTGTTCGATCCCTGCATTGGCCGAGAAAGTTCATCCAGATTTTCCGGCGTGGTTCTCCCTTGTCAGTGATGCAGGACGGAGGGGCTGACAAGGAAAGCTGTCTAGTCGTTCGGATGGGACGAAAAAACGAGGTCCCGTGTACACATTGGCGTGCACGTAAAAGATCCCTTGACAGTTGGAATTCGATATAAGAGTAGGCCGTAGTGCCGCTGTCCGGGCAAAATTTCCCTCATAGCACACTGTATGGCGTATACCCGTCTTCATTAGCCCAGGTTAGGAGCAGAACAGTAGGACGTTAAACCCCATTTCATTTCATTTCATTTTTATTTGATTCAACAGATGGTCCAGGTTCATCAACTACGTTAAACATACCAGAAAGATTTAAATCTGTAAAGGAAGGAAGTTATGTATTACTAGAATGTAGCGCCACCTGTCTTCCGGCTTGCCAGTACTTGTGGTACAAAGGGGGCCGGTTATTGGTCAATACGTCTAAGTTACAATTGGATAATCTACAAGATGGCGATACTGGAAAGTATACCTGTCAGTCCTACAACCTAGTCAGCACCAATACAACTATGATCACCATACTCGTTCTGGGTAAGTCATGTTTTCTTCCAATAAAAAGCCAGGGCCAGAATGTGAGCACTACCAAGTTCCTTGGTAGTTAAACACATGTTGATTGAGTCATTGTATTGAAATATGCTATTGGATGGCCGAATGGTTAGCAGGCGTGCGCTGTATCATAAGGTCTGTCATTGAGTCAACTGGCGTCGTTTCGATTCCCCGGTTGTACGTGACGAGGAGTAGGGTCGCCTGACCAACCTCGTGGGTTTTCTCCTTTTGCTAAAGACCCCTACGCGCATGCGAAGTATTGAAATAAAATTGAACCATATGTTAGTCCCGAAATGACCTAGTTTGTTTCGAGTGGACGTTAAACCCCATGTTAAAGACCGCTGCTCGCATACAAATTAGGTTATACATTTTAATTTCGAAATCACCTAGTTAGTGGCCAATGAATTTTCCGTCCGCCCCTCGTTGTTGTTGTTGTTGATAGTATTCCTTCTATTTCAGACGAACCCCAACCGCCGAGAGATCTAAAACATGTTTTTAGTACACAGGATACGGTCTGTTTAGTTTGGAGGGCCGGTGATGATGGCGGAGCAAGTCATGAATTCCATATTCAGTTTCTTAAACTTAATAAAATGTCAACAAAAAGCGAAGCACCGTTTGTTTTAGATTGGAAAGATATCGGTGATGTGATCGATAAACCGGTTTATGGGGGTCCTGTTTCAGCTTGTGTCAGGAATCTAGAACCAGAATCGACGTACTACTTCCGGGTTTATGCTAGTAACGAGCATCACACCGGAAATCCATCTGCGTCCATTACAACTTCCACCAATCGTAAGTAATGTATTAAATATATATTATGCAAGAGCTAAATCTGCCTATTGCAGGTCTTTCTTTAGGTCTGAAAGGTTTTCTAAAGTATTAATTAGACATTAATTAACAAAACAAGATTTATATAAACTATTAATTAGACATTTATTAACAGAACGGTTCGCCATTTAAAAAAATTTAATTTAAAAATAGGAAAGGGAGGCTAAGTCTTGAATATACCAGTGCCGTGGTTACCACTATACACACATCTTGTCAAAACTACAAACAGTGATAACTTGGCTCAGAATGAAGTAATTTGAATAAAATATCAATATTTTTATTTTACATTATCTATTTTTGAGGTATTATAGCAAGAATGGCCAGCTCTTTTAGAATTTAAAGAAGTTAAAGTTCTCACGACCCTAGCGGAAACCTTTCAAGCATTGAATTTATATAAATTTGTAAGACTGTTAGATGTTCAATTTGTGCATAAATTCGGAAAAATACCAGAAAGCACCATTTTCAGTCAGTTTTTCACAAATTTTCTCGCGTTCGAAGGGGGAGGCGAATGCCAGGACCTCCCTAGAGCTAGGAGCCCTATTGGCCCCCAATCTTCCCCTGAATTATATATTTTGTTTTATAGTAAAGGAAGAGATGACGTCAGATGGACTATCTTTTGGATCTGGTATTGGAGTGGGACTAGGTTTAGGTCTAGGTTTTCTTGTCGTCGGCATGCTTGTAGGTGTTTGTTTGGTCAAACATCGCCGTCAACGTAAGTTCATCTATTTCCTGGCAGACTTATCCCTTTTTAGCTATAAGCGTATTTTAAAACCCAGATATCCCAGAAAGTTCATCTAATTCATGGCAGACCTATTTCCTTTGTTTTTTGTTTTTTTTTAATTCTAAGCGTATTTTAAAACCCAGCGCCTTCAACATAAGTTCATCTATTTCATGGCAGACTTATCCCTTTTTGAGCTCTAAGCGTATTTTAAACCCCAGCCGTTCCAGTAAGTTCATCAATTCCATGGCAGACTTATCCCTTTTTTAGCTCTAAGCGTATTTTAAACCCCAGCCGTCCCAGTAAGTTCATCAATTCCATGGCAGATGTAGCTCCCTAGATGGTTGTTTAGTCAAACAGCACCGTCACAGTTAATGCAATCTGATTAAAATACAGATCTATATTTCGTTTCGAAGAAAGCAGGGGACTATTAAAATGGTTCTGTCTGTCTGTCTGTCCGTCCGTCCGTCCGTCTGTCTGTCCGTCACACTTTTTGGGACACAATAACTCCCTTTCTAATTAACCTAGAATGTTCCAACTTGGTGCAGGTGTTTATTAGGTCAATGCCTTGATGGAGTTCGAAGATGAGCATTTTCTGCTTAGGGTAAGCAGAGATAAGCAATTTGATTGGTTGATGCTTTGGGACACGATAACTTTAGTTCTAATTAAGTGAGAGTGATGAAACTTGGTGTATAGTTAGTTTCATTACATCAATACCTTGACTGAGTTCGATAATGAGCATTTTCTGCTCAGGGTAAGCAGAGCGATAAGCAATTTGATTGGCTGAGACTTTGGAACACAATAACTCTTCTTCTAATTGAGCCAGATAGCAATTTGATTGGTTGATGCTTTTGGACACGATAACTTTAGTTCTAATTAAGTGAAAGTGAGGACACTTGGTGTATAGCTTTATTACATGAATACCTTGACTAAGTTCGATAATGAACATTTTTTGCTGAGGGTAATCAGAGTGATAAGCAATTTGATTGATTGAGACCTTGGAACACAATAACTCTCCTTCTAATTGAGGTAGAATGTTCAAACTTGGCGTAGGTGTCTATTAGGTGAATGTTTAAACTTGATGTAGATGTTCATTAGGTGAATGTCTTGACTGAGTTCAATCAATATAACATTTCGAGCTGACACTAAGCAGAGCTAATCGATTTCATTTGTCGATGGTTTGGGACAAGATAATCTTGATTCTATCTGATAGAGAGTGATGAAACTTAGTGTATGGTTTAATCGTTTGATACTTTTGAAAAAAATAAATGTGCAATTAATTAATATGTGTCATCTTTTTATTTTGGTATTTCGGCGGGGGACATCAGCCTCACTGTTGGCTTGTTATACTTTAGATGGCCTACACTACATGAAGATCTGACCGGTTGAAGTAAAAGGTCGCGCCAGGGGTCGTACGAGCGACTTTTAACCATATGACGTCGACATTGATTAATCAATCAGCGTTGACGTTTCTAGCGGTTTACCCATGCAGTTCTGTGTATCACTCGCCGTAACAGACCGTTTCATCAACCAGAACGCCTGTTATATAACGCCTCTTCCAGATCCTAGCGTTGTGAAGACAAGTTAAACGAAATTTTGAACTATAAAAAACGAAACGAAATAGAATCTGTGTTTTGATCAGATTGCAGTTAATGGCACATGGCCGAACTAGGTCTTAGCGTATTTTTATAGCCCGGTCTGTCGTCCGTTCACCTTTATATCTTTCCACTTCTGCTCAAGTAAATTGTTTCAGTGGCATTTTTCTGATTGCGGGGTTGGATGGCCGAATGTTTAGCACGTGCGCACTGTATTATAAGGTTTGTCATTGAGTCAACTGGCGTGGTTTCGAATCCCCGGTTGTTCGTGACAAGGAGTATAGGTTCGCCTGTCCAACCTCGTGGGTTTTCTCCTGGTCCTCCGGTTTCTTCCCACTGCTAAACCAATTTTCATTTAAAATTTGATGAAATATTAAAGGGGAACACTACTGACACCAGTCCTTCTCTTGATGCACAGTAAGATATTTATTTATTTATTTTTACATTAAAGGATCCAGAGCAAATTATGATAATACAGATTGTACAGTTTTGGTGAATTAAATGGCTTCAGGAGTAAATTGCTGTCTGTAGAGTGTTAACATGGGGTCAGTTATAAAGGGGGGTGACTCCAGCAGTTTACGTTACAAATTATTTCAGAATCCAGAGAAAATTATGATAATACAGAGTTAGAAGTAAATCGCAACCTATAAAAACTATAACAGCATGATTGCTGGAGTGTTAACATGAGATTTGTTACAAAGGGAGGGGAATCCGAAGAAAGTCAACGATAAAATTCAATAGGCAACACAACAGATACGAATAGTAGGGTGCCCGACGATTAAAAAGAGCTAGCCATTCTTGCTATAATAGTTCGAAAATAGATAATGTAAAATGAATAATTGAAAATTTCATTCAAATTACTCTACTGCGAGCGAAGATATTAGCATTTGAAGGTTTGACAAGACGTGTGCAATAATTTCAACCACCACACTGGTTGTTCGAAGCTAAGTCTCGCTCCTCCATGTTTAGCTTAAATCAAAATATGGCTGAAATGTTCTAATCTATTTAATATCGAAGAAATCCGATGCCATCGATAGTTGATTATGGCCTGGGTCAGTTAATTAATGTCTAATTAATAATTTAGAAAACATTTCAGGCCTAAAGAATGACCTGCAATAGACAGATTTAGCTCTTGCATAATGTATGTTTAAATATATCTCTAAATATATTGATGATTATTGCACAATATTTATATAAACATTAAACTTTAACTTATTTTCCTCAATTTATTGTTAAGTACGAACTGGGTTACGTGTTTATGGTTTGAAATTCGTCGCGCTTAACCAGTCTACTGACCGTTCTCTGGTCGATAGACAGGCCTGGATGATCGAGACTATCTTGCACAAAAACATAACTGAGAAACCCATCCCAATTCAAAAAAATCACGAGCACGACAAGTCAGCGAAGGTTTCAGGAACCTCGTAAAAGCAGGAGGAAAATCTATAATCACTATTTTTTGGGGGGATCGATAGCGCGATTTTCGGAAATATGATTTCTACTAACACAAACGATGCCGTTTAAACCGGTACTGTTTTTAAAATAGCAAACGGAAATATAAAGCGAAAGTCACTGAGACATAAACATATGTCTTTAAGTTTCATTAAAATTTGATAATAATTGCGACTTCTAGAGGTCCACAGCCATGGTGTGACATACTTTTACACTGTTTGCGAACAAGAAGCAGCCATTTTGTCTGGCAGTTTCGGTCAGATTTTTACGAAATTCGAACTCAACCTTCATTGATTTGTAACGGTGTTATATTTAAACGGTTTTTCAAATTGAATACAAATTGTGACTTCTAGCGGGACCACAAGCTAAAAATGCGATTTTCCGAACAATCGGGGGCCATAATCCAGGAAGTTACGTTTGGATATGCACAAATATCGAGAAGAACCACGATCGTTGGGTTATAAACATGTATATCAAGTTTCCTGAAAATCAGATGAAAATTGTGACCCCTAGTGTGTCCACAAGCCAAAAACATGATTTTTCGTACAGTCACGGGCCATAATGCATGAAGTTATGGCCCGATATATGCCAATATCGAAAGGAACCGAGATATTTGGAAGATAGACCTATATTTTAAGGTTCGGCAAAATCTGATAAAAATTGGGATCTGTAGGGTGTCCACAAATAAATTGTGGACGGACAGCGGCGACGGCATAATACGTCCACATTGTGGATATTGAACTGGCAATGTAAATGGGTTTTCTGAAATGACATTTCATGGGCGTCGAGATCTCGGGGATACTCGATTGAACGTTCCGGAACTAAATTCTTTCAATTACAAAAATAGTGTCATCGAGTGAAAAAGAGAATTTCGGAGTACAAAGCACGTGCCGAGTGTATTAAAAATATCTCAACCAATCATGACAGCTGAAACATATTTGTTATTTAAAATACGTCACGATTCTACTCACACCACCTCAGCTATCGGGCTGGCAGAACTGTGACAGGGCTGAATTCCATATCACTTGTCAATTCGGGACGTTCCGGACTGACAATCGAGCACACCCCACCCCTTTGTTTCACTCGGCAAATCTCGACAGATTCCGTTACCCTACATCTAATCTCGGCTGTATGACAGTAAGTGATATGTACCTACGCCCACACATTTGCGATGCGGCTGCCGGTTTACTTTAAACAGGAAAACGTGTCGCTTTTACAAAAAAGTCCCAAATTGCGTCTTTTGTAGAGTGTATATACCTAAATGAGCAGAGATATTGTCTCAAGGCTGCTGGTTTGATAAAATTCCCTGATAATTCCCCAAACCCAATGCCAAACGTGACGTTTGTTGATATAATACACTCTCCACAGAAATCTCCATGAGGGCAGCCATTTTTCATTCGGAACCTTTAAAATAGTTCAAATATGGCGGAAATGGTGATACAGCCGAGATTAGATGCGTAGAATCTGTCGAGGTTTGCGGAATGCCCTTTGTTTTAGGGCCAGTTACCTCCCTTAGACTTTGTTCATAATAGTGTAAAAGACCGGATACCAGTGCCGGACTGGGGTGACGAAGGCCTACCTGTCAGGTCATTGACCAAGGCCCACACAAGTACGCGTCGAAGGCGTGTCACGAGCGCGCCAAATGCGCGCGAACGTCCGAGGGGTGTCAGACCAAAGCAGAAGACAAATTTTTGATTTCCTGATACAATTAGATAACAGAATGACCTAAGAGCACTATCATTAGATGAATTTGAGAATTCTCTTCAGTGTCAAAAACAAAAACCTTTAATTCTCAGTTTTTGGCGATTATTTCGGCGATAATGACTTAAGAAGAACTAAGTAGAAGTTAAATGATGAATTACACGGTTTTCGGTATAATGAGGTCAAACTAATAAAGTTCTCTCCTTGTAGTACACTTCTTTTTTTGTGTTATTTGTCAGTCATTTTTTCCCTATCTTTTCTTTCTCCTGTCTTGTGTCCTGTCCTTTCCTTTCTTCTTTCTTTTCTTTCCTCATCCTCTCCTGGTGGGGCCAGTCCGGCACTGCCGGATACTATGGTGAAAACACACTTATCAGCAGTGAATTTTCGCTAGGCCGCTACAATCACTGATAAGGATGACATCGATGCGACTTAATGAGACAGAAATATTAACTTTTTTCCTGCGACAAATTAAATTCTAAAACATTTTTTTTATGTTTTGGAAAAATAAATAAAGGCGTTTGACGTATTGTAGGTAAAAATTATTTCCTATTTAGTGTAAATGGGTATTAAAATGACTAAAAGGCAGCATTCTCTCCGAAGCAGAACGTCTTATGTAAACAATGCATGCGCCATTCAGCCAATGATTGACGCCGCGTGCTGTGACGGCACGTGTTAAGGCAGCCATCTTTGACAGAGATAATATACTAGACTCGTAATTCTCTATGAAACAGATTGTGTTGACAGCGGATCAAGACTAGTTGTCTGAATGCTAGAGACTATAATCCCTTGAGCAGTCGTCATGGAAGGTGGATTGAACGTTCCAGAATTGAATTATGTCAAACCAAAAAATAGTGACAATCGAGTGAAAATGGGATTTTAGGGGTCTTTAGCAGTGGGAGGAAACCGGAGAACCCGGAGAAAACCCACGTAGGGTGCCCCACCATAAATAAATATCTCCAAATATATTGACAATTACACCACAATCTTTATATATATACAAATCAGTTTCGCACATTTATGGCCACTAAATAAACGGTCATGTTGTACTTAATAAGTTATGACCATTTAATCATCTATAAATAATAGACTGAAACTGGTTCCAAGTGTCGGCCATAACATCCGCGCACTTTTGAGTAAAAAAATAGGTTACGTGCTCTTGTTTTAAAATTAGTCTCGCTTAACTAGTCTACCGACCATTCTCCGTCTGATTGACAGGCCGGGATAATCAAGACTATTTTTTTTAACAGAAAGCTGGAACAAGAAATTGAATTTAGAAACAAGCACTTTAGCCAACTCGCAACTGTTTTAAGAACCCTGTAAAAGTAAATAGAAACTACTGCTAGTATCATGTTCTTGCCTAACCCGAGTATTTCAGACATATTATTTGTACTAAACCAAAAGAAGCAGCTCCTAACGGTATAGTTAATGATGAAGCAATTTAAAAAAATAAAACGAACGTAATTTCTAAAGCTGCTGTAATAACCGAAAAAAGCTAAATATTACTGCTATTCAGAATCGTCAATAATAGATTGATTGTTTACGGTTGTAATAGTTGATAGATCTGTAGAGATTTTCATGTGCAATGGCTATTTATAGACTCATACGAGTGTTATCGTACCGCTTGACTAGCAAGAAATCACTTCGAGACAAGCTATTGAAGCGTGCACATTCGCTGTGTCGTGTTCAACTTTCAGTAGAGAAAATTTTCGCTGCACGGTGCACCCTACCATTGTCATTGACTTCAATCACTCGGCAAACCTCAACAGTACCCTACATCTTATCTTGGCTGTATGACAAAGTCCGCCATTAGAACTACTTTCAAGTTCCCGGATTACAATGGCGTTGTTCATAACGACCAATGACGTCATTGATGACGACGTATTTGAAGAATGTTTTATCTTACAAAATTTTCAAAGTTTGAAACTGTTTTTCTTTCAAGTTTATCCGATTTTCTTTAGACAAGGACAAATTTGCACTGAAAATTTTACACACTCTTCGAACGACGCAATTTTGAGAACTTCTTTCTAAACGCGGGCAAGTTTCCCTTATAAGTAAACCGGTGCCGCATCGCAAATGTATAGGCGTAGGTACATATCACTTACTGTCATACAGCCGAGGCTTGATGTAGGTACCGGAATCTGCCGAGGTTTGCCGAGTGTGACTTCAATGTTACATATGGTCATAGATTTATAATAAACACATGGTACATCCATGACAAGGGGGGTAATAAACAGCCCTTTATGGAGTCAGACTACTAAATCTCACCCCATTGACTTCAATGTTAAATCCACGATAAGGGAGTTGATAAACAACCCTGTTTTGGAGTCAGACTAGTAATTCTCACCCCATTGACCACACTGTTAAATCCATGACAAGGGAGGTAATAAACAGCCCTGTATGGATCAAGACTAGTAATGGTCTAACGCGTGTTTTAGTACACAAGGGTTATCATTGATTCCACAATTACTCTGGTTATTTTAATACTAGTTTTTCTATGGTTACATGGAAAAATTCGTCCAGACACATCTAGGGGAATGATATCTCCGCGACCGATAACTAGCCCCGAGTTCAAAAACATTCTCAGCTTTAAAGATACATTAGTTAAGAGTTTAATAAAGAGTTGGTCATTCTTGCTGTAATAATTCAAAAATAGATGATAAAAAAAGAAAATATTGAAAATTTCATTCAAATTACTTCATTTTGAGCCAAATTATAACTGTTTGTAGCTTTGAAAAGTTGTATGCATAGTGGTGAGTGACGTAGTTGTATTTTACGTCAGCTTCCACCAAGGTGATATCGCAGTGGTAACCAGGGCACTTTTATATTCGAGACTTGGTCTCGCTTTCCCATTTTTAAATTAACTTTTTAAATGCCAAACCGTTCTAATCTAGTTAAAATCTCAAAGTATCCGATGCCCTCTAAAGTTGATTATGGTCTAGTTGTGTTAATTAATGTCTAATTAATGACTTAGATAACATTTCAGGCCTAAAGAAAGACCGACAGTAGGCAGATTTAGCTCTTGCATAATGTATGTTTAAATAAAGAATTTACTCAAAATTGTTCGCCTTATAAAACTTTTGTTGTTTTAATGTATCAAATACATCAAGTAGAAAACATGTACTAATTTTTGTGTTTCTGGATCAAAGATATTTCTCATAAACAGTGATTGAAAGTATGAGAAAGCTTTGTGACCTCGGGGCCTGTGGTTATACAGATACACACCTGTCCACAACTTGATTAAATCAACCCTTTGTCAGCGCTAAATTTTGACACAGGAAATGAAATGGAGTTTAACGTCCTACTGTTCTGCTCCGAACTGGGCTAAATGAAGACGCCAAGCATACGCCATACAGTGTGTTTTGAAGGAAATTTTGCCAGGACAGCGGCACTACGGCTTACTCTTATATCGAATTCCAACTGTCAAGGAATCTTTTACGTACACGCCAATGTGTACACGGGATCTCGTTTTTTATGTCCCATCCCAACGACTAGACAGCTGTCCTTGTCAGGCCGTCCGCCCTGCACCACTGACAAGGGGAAAACACGCCTGAAAAATTCCGATGAACTGTTTTGAAAGCAAAAACAAAATACACTTACCATGCGTGCGCAATGAGAATGATGTTCATTTTATAGCAAGATCCAGCATACAAGGACACATCTTCAATAGAAGGCTTAATCTCGCCTTAACTACGTACATCTTATCAAGCCCTTCACGTAATACCCCGCATATTTTGGCACTATTTTTGATTGGGTATAAGCCCAGCTTGTGATCCTATCAGATTCCTTCGTTAAAAATATCGTTACGATTATTAAGTCTCGCCTAAAATGTCTACATGTGACAATCGAGTTGCAAAGTTCAAGGTTCGATCAATGTCAAGGTTGCTGGAAATCATACCTGATCAACAAAGAGTTTCTATGGAGGCCGCCATATTTGTTTACAGTGTGTTATGTGCGACGACCCCTGATTGGACGATGCTAATTGATCACGTGTAAACACAACGAGCGCAAAATTTCGGGAATTGCCCAGTTCTGAAGCAACGGTTAGCTGTTGTAAAACTCGCGATCGTTGCTTCGGGAACATGACAAGGACATGGCAATAATGGCGATAAACTACAATACCCGTACACATCACGACCGGCTATAGCTATCAACAATAGGGGGGGGGGGCTGGATGGCCGACTGGTTAGCGCGGGCACGCTGTATCAGAAGGTCTGTCATTGAGTCAACTGACGTGGTTTCCATTCCCCTCGCTGTACGTGACAAGGAGTAGGGTCGCATGTCCATCCTCGTGGGTTTTCACCGGTTCCTCCGGTTTCCTCTCACTGCTAAAGAACTCTACGCGCAAGCGAATTATTGAAATAAAACTGAATCATATGTTAGTCCCGAAATGACCTGGTTTGTGTCGAGTGGACGTTAAACCCCATTTCCCTTCCTCACTATCAACAATATTTCACGTTTTGTACTTCTATCTAAATCACACGATGTAGGTGACGGACTTTTCTCACAACAGAACACCGTTTTCACGGCCTTTTTGGCCTGTCGCCGGAAGTTCAGATTCAAGAAACTGTATATAATTGGATTAATGGCGTTATTAATGAAGAAAAAATTGGAGAAAAATTTACTGGTGACCTCAACTTCTATACTTCTTGTGTGTTCTAGGTCTTTCAATAACGATCTAGTCATCATAATGGCTATAGCAGGGAGATAACTGATGACGAACGCCACAGTTACAGCGAATAACACAACCGTTGTCCTCGTGATACGAATTCTAGAAGCGTAGTTCGCCAGACTTCCAAATCGCGTCCTTTTCTGCCCCCCACACTCTCCATTTCCGGTTCCCGTTCCGGAAGAATCATCCTCGCCATCTTCATTGCTGCCACTGGCCGCGAGATATTTGATCCGAATCTTTTTCTTTCCTTGCGCCGTTCCCGGTGATCGAGTTATCTGATCTCCTATAACCATGCTGCGACGCTGTTTAATCTCCACCCATATTCTGACGTAGAGAATAGTAAGAACGAGTAGTGTCGCCACGAAAACTACGGACAAAGTCCCATAATACAACTTCTGAAACGTCGACTTCCGGTACTTCTCCTCGATAGAACAATCATAACCACGGACTCCTTGTATCGGGGTCTGTGGATTGGTGATGCCAAATAGAAGGGCGGTCGGTGTAGAGAACATAAGCGCGAGCACCGTTGCCATGAAACACAACATCTTAATTTTGAACAAACTGATCACCATAAGGGGTTTACAAATCTTAAAATATCGATCAAATGCGATCTCGACAAGCACAATGGCCGAACCGTAGATCGTAAACGTTTCCGTAAACCTGAACACCTTACATCCAACGGAACTGTAAAACGTGTAAGGATATCGTAAATCATAAATTTCTGTTGGCATGCCAACCACACAGGCAACCAGATCAAATATGGCCATCGTTAATATAAAATAATTGGACGAGGTTTGTTTAAATCGACGTCTATATACGTACACCACGAGTGAGTTGCCTAAAACCCCGATCACCATCAACAGAGTCACCCATAACATCACTGGTATAAAATGTACAGCTTTAGCATCGTTTAATCTCTGTAATAAGCCTGTTTCAATAGAGGTATTATTGCAGGTGCCCGTACAGTTGCCCGGATTATTGGTACTGTTCTCCATCTGAAAATATAAACCGGTTTCAATAGAGATATTATTACAGGTGCCCGTACAGTTGCCCGGATTATTGGTACTTTTCTCCATCTGAAAAGATAAAAATATATTCCCATGTATCAGATAGACGAGAGTCTTAATGAAGATCGGGGGCCACGGTGGCTAAGTGGGTAAGACGCTGGCTCGCTAGCCTGGAGGTCGTGTGTTCGATCCCTGCATTGGCCGAGAAAGTTTATCCAGATTTTTGCGGCTGGGTGTGTCGTCCCATTCTAATGACTAGGATCCCGATGATGATCGAGAAAGTTCATCGTGATTTTCCGCCGTGGTTTCCCCTTGTCAGTGATGCAGAACGGAGGGTCTGACAAGGACGACTGTCTAGTCCTTCGGATGGCACATTGGCGTGCACGTAAAAGATCCCTTGGCAGTTTGAATTCGCTATAAGAGTAGGCCGTAGCGCCGCTGCCAGGTCGAAATTCCCCCATAGGACACTTAGTACGTTAAACCCCATTTCATTTCTTAATGAAGATATTCCTACGCACTTTCAATGATATATCTGTTTCCAATCTATTCCTTGTGGGACCACAGTGGGTCATGGAGTAAGACGTTGGGTCGCTGTAACCAGGAAGTCCCATGTTCTATCCAGGGGTTGGACGGGAAAGTACCACTTGATTTCCGGTGTGGTTTCCTTGTGTCAGTGGTGCAGACGCGGGCCTGGAAATAAACAGCGTCCAGGTGTGTGGGTGAGACCAATCCAGAGGTCCTGTTGTTGTGCACGTAAAAGAACCCTCGATAGTTTATACAGCATTTGTGAAAACTGTATCAACAGGTTGTAATTCAAAACAACCCAGTTGACTCACGGAATATAGGAACAGTCCTTGCTATAAGAAGACTAGAATATGTGATATGCCGATATGTGATTGGTGTGTATAAGACTATGACCCCAGATCAAAGAAATAATACCCAGCCTTTATTTAATACAGCTCCAAATAATCGTTCTAATTAGCCTGGCCCCTGACATCATGTCTCATTCCTGCTGCTCTTTTATATTCCCCGACTTTCTTAAACAATTATTATAAAATCAGTAGCGTTATCATGACGTCGATATTGACCCACGTCCGTATTTATCCTCTAATTAGCATTAACGAATCTAATCACTGGAGGACCAAAATCCAGTAGGCGAATCCAGTAATTGGATTTAAGCCAATTCTTTAAAGAGAGAGAGAGAGAGAGAGAGAGAGGAGGTGGGATTTAACGTCAACTCGAGACAAACTACATGTGTATGTTATTTCGGGACTAACACATGGTCCCATTTGCAATAATTCGCTTGCGGGCAGGGGTCTTTAGCAGTGGGAGGAAACCCACTTTAAGAATAATGTATCTCCCAGTGACAGACCGTATCATACATTCCCCCCCCCCTTTAAGAATAATGTATCTCTAAGAATGATGTAACTCTAAGAATAATGTATCTTTAAGAATAATGTAACTCTAAGAATAATGTAACTCTAAGAATAATGTATCTCCAAGAATGATGTAACTCTAAGAATAATGTAACTCTAAGAATAATGTATCTCCAAGAATGATGTAACTCTAAGAATGATGTAACTCTAAGAATAATGTAACTCTAAGAATAATGTATCTCCAAGAATGATGTAACTCTAAGAATGATGTAACTCTAAGAATAATGTATCTCTAAGAATAATGTATCTCCAAGAATGATGTAACTCTAAGAATAATGTATCTCTAAGAATAATGTATCTTTAAGATTAATGTATCTCTAAGAATAATGTATCTCTAAGTTCACATTAGTTTTAAAAGACTGATGTATTAGAATAGATAAACTTGTGTCATTAATACCTATGTCACATGATCAGAAGAAATCTGAAACTGAACCTGATTAAACTATTAAATTACGTCTTCGTTTCGGTTTATATTTTCTTGTGATGTTTTACACTGCGATGCCATGGAATACAACATCAAAAATACATAAAACGGAACGCATCTGATTTAAATATGAAGTGAAACGTCCTACTTTAGCACCGAATGGGCTAATGAAGACGGGCTCACACCATACAGGCTGTTAAGAGGGACATTTACACGGACAGTGGATACTCAGGTCCGTAACAAGGGGCGGGGGGCGAAGGAAGCCCCCTGTGAAAAAATTGTCGACCATAAAAAAAATAGATATACATTATTGTTCGTCAATTTTACAGCACTCCTGAGAATCCTTCCCCCCCCCCCCTTTTGTTGCTCTGAGATCGTTACGGCCCCGGTGACACTACGGACTATTCTTATATCGAATTCAAACTGTCAAGGGTTCTTTTACGTGAACGCTAAATTATACACGAGACCTGGGTGTGCCGTTCCATTCTGATGACTAGGATCCTGGTGATGATCGAGAAAGGACAACTGCCTAGTTATAGTTCGAATGGGACGAAAACACGAGGTCCAGTATACATATTGGCGTGCACATAAAAGATCACTTGGCAGTTGGAATTCGATATAGGAGTAGGTCGTAGCGCCGCTGTCTAGGTAGCATTTCCCTCATAGCCCACTGTATGGCGCATGCCCGTCTTCATTGGCCCATTTTACATCACTGACATGCAGGAAATTTCTCAGTCAACACTGGGATTGTACCCCCCAATCTCCTGGTTCGCTGTACACATTGAGCACCTTTAGAGCACCATTGGATATGATGAAACAATACGTACCCTTATCATTTCAACACAGACAGCTAGGTCTAGCTGTGGTAGTCCATTGATAGACCCATCACACAAATCTAGCTGTGGTAGTCCATTGATAGATCTATCACACAAATCTAGCTGCGATAGTCCATTGATAGACCTATCACATAAATCTAGCTGCGGTAGTTCATTGATAGGCCTATCACATAAATCTAGCTGCAGTAGTCCATTATAGACCCATCACATAAATCTAGCTGCGGTAGTCCATTGATAGACCCATCACATAAATCTAGCTGCGGTAGTCCATTGATAGACCAATCACATAAATCTAGCTGCAGTAGTCCATTGATAGACCCATCACATAAATCTAGCTGCGGTAGTCCATTGATAGACCAATCACATAAATCTAGCTGCGGTAGTCCATTGATAGACCTATCACATAAATCTAATTGTCGTAGGCCATTGATAGACCTATCACATAAATCTAGCTGTGGTAGTCCATTGATAGACCCATCACACAAATCTAGCTGCCCATTAATAGATCAATGTAACGAATACATATAGATGACGAGAGATAACTAAACCATATCCTATATCACGGTTTGTTTGTTACTAGTGAAAGACAAGGACACTTGGCTAACATTACAAAGTTTTTAAGCGGGTCACTAGGTAAAGAGAGAAACAAAATGGCAGCCATATGTGAAGAAGATTAAAGGCGGTCAAAATGTCTCGGGGTGAAACCTGAAAGTTCAAAGGCAAATAGATGAGATAATTAGTTGGGCGTGGATCTGTTTAAAGTCTCGACGCGTCATTTTATTAAATTTTTTAGCGCTATAGGAAATGAAATTAAATGGGATTTAACGTCCTACTGTCATGTTCTGACTTGGTTAATAATAAAAGTGAGAGACAGAGAGAGATGGGTTTAACGTCCACTCGACACAAACTAGGTCATTTCGGGACTAACATATGGTTTAATTTTATTTCAATAATTCGCTTGTGTGTATGGGTCTTGCGCTTAGCGGTGGGAGAAAACCCACGGGGCTTCGTCCCATCCCAACGACTAGACAGCTGTCCTTGTCAGCCCCTCCGTCCTGCATCACTGACAAGGGGGAACCACGCCGGAAAATCTGGATGAACTTTCTCGGCCAATGCAGGGATCGAACACCCGACCTCCAGGCTAGCGAGCCAGCGTCTTACCCACTTAGCATCGCGACACCTATAAAGGAGTGAACAGTTTGATAGTTAGCTAAAAATGCCAAAGACCCATCGTCACTTTAAACTTGGTGGTTACACGGAATAAATTATCACAAGGTCTGTAAATCTATTATTTGCTATTTTAGTGTGGTTGTTAAATGACATTTAGCACATAGACCTATTTACTTTGAAACAGTAGGACGTTAAACCCCGTTTCATTTCATTTCAATTATTGAGAATAGACCACTGCCCCGAATGGTAGCCATATTGAAAAATCTATTATTTTATTTTGTTATAATACGCGTTATTTCTTTACAAGACTACATAATCATTTTTCAGTTTCTTTAAACATGAAAATAAAAGCGGATTAAATACTTCTTGAAACTCTGGTGTTCGATTAAAATCGTCGATGCGGGAATGAAAATGTCCGTCAACTAGCGTCGTGTCATTTCTCAAGCCGAGCTAATTGTAGACAGTCAGGGAAAGTTTCGTATGGTCAAACTATTAAAAATCTCCCTTGTCAAATAAACCATCGTAACAGCAGGCTAGCAATAGAATACCAGTATTGTTTCGAATTCCCTGTTGTACGTGACGAGGAGTAGAGTCGCCTGTTCAACCTCGTGGGTTTTCTCCGGGTCCTCCGGTTTCCTCCCACTGCTAAAGACCCCTACGCAAGCGAATTATTGAATTAAAATTAAACCATATGTTAGTCCCGAAATGACCTAGTTTGTGTCGAGTGGACGTTAGACCCCATAAACAAAAGGTCATGTGACTTGTCTGATTTAGCTCATAACACCTGAGTCAAATCACGTGGTTGCGATCCCAAACTTATACCTGACACTCAATAATAGCTTCGCCTGTCTAACCTCGTGGGGTTTCTCCAGGTCCTCCGCTTTGCTTCCACTACTAAAGGCTTCGGGGCTGGTTTCAATCCTCCACTTATGCCTTCCCAACCTCGAGGGTGTTCTCCAGGTTCTCTGATTTCCGGGGCGTTGGAAGGCCGAATGGTTAGCGCGTGCGCGCTGTATCATAAGGTCTGGCATTGAGTCTACTGGCGTTAAACCCCATCTCTCTCCCCCCCCCCCTCCCTCTCTCACTCTCAAAATATCCACATCACCGTCAAAAGGTAACAAAATCATACTAAAACATACCCACATCACTGTAGAAAATAACTAAACCACATTCAAAAATGCCCAGCATCAAAAATACGCACATCACTGTTATAAACTCAAACGGTAACCAAATCACCCAACCAACTGTAAAAAGTGTACCCAACCAATTGTCAAAAGTGTACCCAAAGGATTGTCAGAAGTACTCAAACCATTGTCAAAAATACCCGAAGTAGTGTCAAAAGTACCCAGACCAGTGTCAAAAGAACCCAAAGTAGTGTCAAAAGTACCCAAAGTAGTGTCAAAAGAACCCAAAGTAGTGTCAAAAGTACCCAAAGTGGTGTCAAAAGTACCCAAAGTAGTGTCAAAGGTACCCAAAGTAGTGTCAAAGGTACCCAAAGTGGTGTCAAAAGTACCCAAAGTAGTGTCAAAGGTACCCAAAGTAGTGCCAAAAGTACCCAAAGTAGTGCCAAAAGTACCCAAAGTGGTGTACCCAAAGTGGTGTCAAAAGTACTCAAAAACATATACAGAGTAAATTTATAGACAAGAATGAATGGAATGAATGTCGATTTGACGTCCTATTGTCTGCTACAAGACCAGCGGCATACGACATGCAGTGTACTCATACTAAACTTAGGCTGTCAGTCTACAATTAGCTCCGCTTGAGAACAGACACTAAGATAGTTGACCGACATTTTAAGTCCTAAATCGACGATTTATCCTCGAGGTATGAAATAGATGGATCTCTAAGAGGGAAATTTTACTTCGACGTTTATGACTCCTCTTCGTCGAATTCCAGCTGCTGTGGATTCTTTTACGTGTACACTGACAATTCCCCAGTAACTTTTCCAACCAATTTGTGTTGGTTGTTATTTCACATCACTGTACTTATACTGAAACAAAAACATTAATTCAAAATCAACCACGCCGGGCCTTGAGCGGCCCAATAGTCCAAGGCGTGGTTTGGATTACCAACACCGTCAAGTTGGGAGTTGTTGGGTTATTTTATGGTTACATCATTACACGTATGTTGCGTTGCCTGGCAACCCATATTTTTATGGTAACATGATTGCAAGTATCTTTCTTTGCCTTGCAACTTCTCTTTTTTATGGTTACATCATTGCACGCATGTTTCATTGCCTGGCAACCTATTTTTTATGTTTTTTTTTCATGGTTACATTATTGGCGACGTATACTGAAATAAAATATTAATTCAACATTAACCACGCAGAACATTTTATCATTACCTGTCTAAATATAGAATGGGTCCGATTTGTCTATAATGGGACTGTCAATGGAACACGGCCGGACTGTAATTCAGGCAGCCATTACCGTGAATCCGCCAGCCGCCAATAGAATGATCTGGGCCCTGTTTCACGAAATTTTAACTCAAGATAAATCCAAATTTTAGTAGATACTTCAATTTTGATTGGCTTAGCACTAAAATCAATGTAATATTATCCAATCAAATTACTAAAATTTCGATTTTATCTTAGTTAAAATTTCGTGAAACAAGCCCCTGTTTCAACGATGTAAAAGGTTGTTAGTGGCGTTCAGTGTGTTTTAACTTGGTGTAATGTCAATAAGATCTAGTTAGTGTCAAATAATGAATAAGCGATAGGAAACGTTCCCAATGTTTACTCTTACACTGATGGACATATTGTCATTTGCTAACTCATTGTCATAATGGCGGACGTTGCAGCTGCCATAATGATTCGCGGCCAGGATTTCATGATTGCGAAAGTGAATTGAGACGTAATTTGTTTAACACCGACTGGGCTAGTGACAGCAGGGTTTAAAGTCCTACTGTTCCGCTCCTACTGGGCTAATGAAGACGGACATACGCCATAGGCCTACAGTGTGCAATGAGGGAAATTTTTGCCGGGCAGCGGCACTATGGCCTACTCTTATATCGAATTCCAACTGCCAAGGGATCTTTTACGTGCACGCCAATGTGTACACAGGACCTCGGTTTTTCGTCCCATCCGAATGACTAGACAGGCCCTCCGTCCTGCATCAATGACAAGGGGGAAACCACGAATATGGTGTAGTAAGACCATCAGATTTTGAATATATATATATATATATATATATATATATACTAGTGTTTGGACACCGCTCACCAAATATTCCTGAAGGATAAAAGTTATTTTTAGTCTTTATCTCCCTTTCCCTTTTCCCCCTTTTGCATGGCGATTTTTGTTGACATTTTGGTGTTGAATCAAAGAAAGGGTTTTGAAAATACATTTTCTGTCAGGTTTTGGTGAATATTCATGATTTTGGGCCGGGATATTTGGTGAGCGGTGTCCAAACACTAGTATATATATATATATATATATATATATATATATATATATATATATATTCAAAATCTGATTGTCTTATTACACCATATTCGTGGTTTCCCCCTTGTTATTGATGTAGGACGGAGGGCCTGACAAGGACAGCTGTCTAGTCATTCGGATGGGACGAAAAACCGAGGTCCCGTGTACACATTGGCGTGCACGTAAAAGATCCCTTGGCAGTTGGAATTCGATATAAGAGTAGGCCGTAGTGCCGCTGGCAGGCAAAATTTCCCTCATAGCACACTGTATGGCGTATGCCCGTCTTCATTAGCCCAGTTAGAACAGAACAGTAGGACGTTAAACCCCGTTTCATTTCTTTTTCATAGTATAGGCCCTTTTGGACTTGTTCGACCCCGTCGAAAATATCTTGGACCTTCGTTTGTATTATTATTTACTCGTGTACAGTAAATAGGTCCGTTTTGACTTGTCCGACCACGTCCAAAATATCTCGGACCTTCGCTTGTATTTTTATTTACTCGCCCCGTTAAATCGTTAAAACGTGTAATTAAACATGCATTATGCAAGAGCAAAATCTGCTTATTACAAGTCTTTCTTTAGGCCTGAAATGTTATCTAAATTATCAATTAGACATTAATTAACTTATGTTATCTAAATTATCAATTGGACATTAAATAACCATAATCAACTCTAGATGTCAAGGCTAGCCTTCGATGCTGGCTGGATTAGATTCCTATATGCCGCTTAACGAACATTGATAATTAAATCAAAACAGTGGATAATCAAGACTATGCTGTTTATATTAATGATTTTAGTAATGATGACCAAGACTATGCGAAAATTTCACCCGCTTCGTTCTCGGCTCATA